CTCGTTGTAGAGCTGGAGGTATCTGTGAAGGCCAGCCCTGCCCTGCCCGGCCCCACCTGCCTCCCTTTTCCTCCAGCGCAGTTTCACCAGCCCTGCTCCAGCAGAACAGCAGCGAGTCATCCCCCGTGCCCAGCGCTGAGTGGCACGCAGGGCCTTGGGAGGACAAGGGCTATGGCTGCTTTAAAGTGAAGAAGGATTCCCCGAAGAGCGCTCACCCCAAATCCCACCACTGCCTCCTTTCTCCATCAAAACCCCGCAGGGAGAGCAGCTGCTGCAAGACACGGAGGGGGCAGGCAGAGGAGATGAGCTCAGGCTTCGCAGCAGAGTTTTATTGAAACTGCCACAGAACTGGGCACAGGGGAGCAACGCACGGGCAGAGCTGCCCAAAGGCACTCAGAGTGTATCGGGGGCACCCTGAGGGGAACCGCACGGCTACTGTGCCCTTCGGGCCATCAGCATTTCCCGGATGTTATCTTCTGCTTCCTTCACACTCCGCTCCAGGTACGACTTCTTCTGCTGCAAGACAGAAAACCCAGGGGAGAGTTAAGATCCTCCTTGGCACTGACAGCGCGTGCTGGGGCCGAGAGCTGCCCAGGGCAGAGCTGCAAGCAGCTGCCAAGGGCACACATGGCCCTATGGGTTTCCCAAAGTGAGGACAATGGTGACCCATCTCCAGAGGCATCCTGGAAGTGTTACTATTCGGCCTGGGCAATGTTTACACAGACTTTGAATTTTGTTGCCCTTGAAACCTTCTCCTGGGATCTGCAGGGACTGTTGCAACAGCAGAGCTGCAAGAAGTAGGATACATTAACCACAGCAAAGAAGGAAAAGGAAATCAGATCCTGTAACCTTGGAGCCTAGAGAGGAATTAACCTGCTGAGGCCTCCTTATAGAGACAACAGCAAAATCCTTTTGGACTTGAGTAAAAAAGGCTCCTTTTCCCAGCTGGGCCAGTTTTCTAAACCCAGACCCTCCTTTCTATTAGAAATTCCCTGGCATTGTCATCCAATACTTGTGTTTCCTTAATCATCTTTAATTAGGCTAGGCTTGGCAGGGAAGCAGCCCGAAGCTGTGCATCCCAAGATAGGAATTCAGCACGCAGCGTTTTTTCCTGCTAGTCTGGGTGCTCCTAGGTGACTGGAAAAATCAGCACTTCACTCTTTTGACTATTTTCTCTGCGTTTCCAAACAACAGACGCAACAGTCTCCTGGGCTGCATCCAGAGCAGCGTGGGCAGCAGGTCAAGGGAGGGGATTCTGCCCCTCTGCTCCACTCTGGTGAGACCCCACCTGCAGTGCTGCCTCCAGTTCTGGGGCCACCAACATCAGAAGGACATGGACCCACTGGAGCGAGACCAGAGGAGGGCACAAGGATGATCCAAGGGCTGGAGCACCTCTCCTATGAGGACAGGCTGAGAGAGTTGGGGCTGTTCAGCCTGGAGAAGAGAAGGCTCTGGGGAGACCTTCTAGTGACCTTCCAGTACCTGAAGGGGCTCCAGGAAGGCTGGGGAGGGACTTGTGACAAGCGCAGGGAGTGACAGAACAAGGGACAATGGCTTTAAACTGGAAGAGGGGAGGTTTAGATTAGACATTAGGAAGAAATTCTTCACTGGGAGGGAGCCACGGGCTGCCCAGAGAAGCTGTGGCTGCTCCTCCCTGGAAGTGTTCCAGGCCAGGTTGGATGAGGCTTTGAGCAACTTGGTCTGGTGGAAGGTATCCAGGCTCATGGCAGGGGGTTTGGAACTGGATGAGCTTTAAGGTCCCTTCCAACCCAAACCATTCTGGGATTCTCTGATTATTATTAAATTACAGGCATCCAGGCCTCAGCCTAGAGCATCCTTCTGTAGGCGCCACTAATCGCCTCCCCAGACACAGGCAGAGGGGCCCAGTATGGCATGAATGAGCTCCAAAGGCCACCAAAACCAAGGACAGCTAAAGGAGGACAGCGGAGGTCCTCAGCACTGCTCAGCTGCACAGAAGGACTGGAGAAAAGGGTAAAAACACTCCCTGCTCTGTGGTGCTCCCTCAGCTGCCTGCTGTCTGGAGCAGAGCAGCACCTATGGGTGCAGGCTGCAGCGGAATTACACGCTGACCTCCATCAAGCAGGCCAGAAGACACAGCCACTGCCACCTGGCAAGTGGCAAGAACTGCAGAGTTGATGCTTCCCTGACTCCTGCAAGCCCACAGGAAGCTGGGATCCATAATGCCGAAGGAAAATTTATTAGCAAATGGGACAGTCCTGCTGCCATCACTCCTGATCTGTCCCCTCACAGCAGACCTGCAGTGACACTTTGGTACACTCAGCTGAAATGCCCAGGCCATGAGGACATCTCTTCCAGCTCCATTTCTGAATACTGAAGGGCTTTTATTTCAAGAGTAAAGGTTGTTAGCAACAGCTAGGGCTGTGGGGATGGCAAAGAGCTCCTTGTCCCTCTCCCCCGTTCCCCATGCACTTGGGATCTCTCTCGCTTACAAGAGCTGCTTTTCAGGAAAGCGGTGGGAGAGGAGGCCCAGCAAGGGTTCCCACTGCCAACAACCCGCTGATGCATGAGCAGGGCTTCTGCCACCACCGCACCGTTCTCACACTGCCCGGACAGACAGGGAGGGATTTCACATCTAGGGAACCGAATCTGAAGGCTGCAGGGGAGACAAGTCTCAGAAAACCTGCTGGGTCTGAGCTCCACCTCACCCTGCTGACTGGAGGAGAGTGGCATCAGGGGAGCTGACTTCTGTGCATTCATTTATTAATAATTGATAAGAAAACTTTTTTTGGTTGTTTTATTATTTATTTATTAAATTTATTTAGTTTTATTATTAGTCTATTAAATATTTATGGCTTTCTGTCATCTCCACTGGCCCTGGGCAGGCAGCCCTGCCACTGCACAGGGAAGCCTCCAGCTGCAGCCAGGAGCAAACAACGGCTCTGTCCTCCTCCCACAGTGGGATTTCAAATGGCCTCTGTTAGGAAGCCATGCTGGCAACCATTTGGACCCCAATTCCCCGAGGACAAGGGACCCTGAGCATCAATGTGGCCTGACACAGTGCAGGAGCATTCATGGCTGTCGTGGCCATGCAGCTCCACGCTGCCCACTCCTGCACATTGGTACACAAACCCTCCCAGGGCAGAAGGGTGCTGGATGGGGCTACCCAGCCCACGGCAAAGGGACGTGGTTTAATGACATTTCCTTGCTTAAGCATCACCTGCAGTCCCAGGCAGGTGAGGATCCAAGGAATTTGTGTTTCTCTCAATCACTCTCCTTGGTCATGTAGTTTCTGGGCTGGTCCTGATGCTTTTACTCCTTCCTCCCAAAAGTAGCCTCTAGGGAGAGCCGGCCCTGGGCTTGAGGAGCATCCCTGAGCAGCAAGGGAAATTCTGCACCTGCAGCTGGACAGCTGCAAACTTCTCAAGCTCTCCTGGAGGCTGGCAGCGCTGGAACCAGCACAGCAGCTGGCTCCCATTCTAATGGCCTGAATCAAGGGTGAGCTAGGAGCAGATGGTCACCACAAGCAAGGTGTTCCTTCCTGAGGAGCTGCAGCCTGGTTTCTGCTTCAGTAATCACAGGAGAAAGAGCAGGAGCTTGCGTGCAAACTCCTCGCCGCGATTAATGGGGTCTAGACAGGAAACTCCGTCTCTCCCAGGGAGCAGCACTGTGAGCCAGCCAGCTGACACAGCGCTGCCTCCTCACTCCAGCTCTGGAGAGCCCAGGCATGATCTGACAGCACAGCTCTTCACTAACCCTGGAGGCTGTTCTGGTCCAGCCAGATCTGCAAGGCCGGTTGTATCTGCTCCCTGTGGGAGGAACATAACCTCAGCAACCCAAACCCCACCTCCAAGCCTCCCTGATCTGCACATGATGTTGACCTGCAGCCTTAGTTAACCCTACATCCTCTGACCCCAGTTTTGGGCCAGCCCATGGCTGCTGGTTTTAGCTCATCACCCAATTACCTGCATACATTTCCCTGTGAAGGTGCGTGCATCGCTCCAAGTGTTACTTCTCTGTTGCCTGTGCCAAGACAAGCGCAGCTAGCAGCAACTGATATCCCTTGTACACCGGTAACTCCAGTGCTCGCCCATACGGAGCCCCACAGGACACGGCAGCACACTGGCCCTGCAGAGCAAGCCAGTGACTTCAGAGGCTGCACAACCTACGACCTGCAGATTCAGAGTTCCTACTCGCTCCCCACACCAGCAGTGCCATAAACTGCCCCTACCCACCCATCCACCAGCTCCTCTGGCCAGACAAGGTGCTTACCCAAACCAGCAAGAGATACCACTGCTTTAGACATGGAGTTGCGGGGTGGGACTGAGAAAGCAGACTTGCTTTGGGAAGGTGATGGGGTGAAGGTGACACAGGCCACTCAGCTCCCAGAAAAGCCCGAACTCACGGCTTACAAACAGGGCGACGATGTGCTGGTGTCTCCCCAGCAGTGACACGCAGAGTGTGGCAAGGCAGCGAAGGAGGAAACACAGACAGCACCGCAGGAGGAGGCTGGTCTGTCAGCCGATGGCTCTGCCTGCAGTGAGGGACCAGTTCCTCCTCCTGGTTCGCAGCTGCCACATCCACTTGTTAAGGATTTATTTACTGCACGGCAAAATACACTTGAGTGTCACTGAAACTTAAATTTAAGATGCGCAGCTTCTGAACACCCGCTCGGCCAGGGCAGCGAGCGCACATATCCCTGCCAGTCTCTGCTGTCCCGTGCCTTTTGGAGGTTTCAGAAACATGGCTTTGTTTCCATGACTGACCTGAGGCTGCAGGTCCTGCCAGCGTGCAAGAAGCCTCTCCACTGCAGAAGTGAGGAAGGGCAGCCAGAAGCTGCCCTGAAGGTGGCTGAAGGCACGTGGGAAGGTAGTAGTTTGTGCAGCTACAGATCTCCCGGCGGGCAGGATGCTTCACACGCACTCTGAAATCAAGCCAGATGCCCTGCTCCAACACAGGACAAGCTCTTGCACCCTCACTTGTTGACACCACAGACCACGCACCAGTTCTCATCCAACCCCTTATCTGCGGTGACAGCCCCTTGATCCCCCTCCTGCCTTGCTCTGTCCCTGCACAGGAAGGGCACTGTCACCTGCACTGGGACATGAGACCAACAGATGGCTACTGCAACAGGCTAATGAGGTCTGGGCCACATGCAGAACAGCTGATACAGTGCAAAACTGCAGAAGATGCCCTTAAAAAAACAGGGCATTCGATGCCTCCCAGCCTGTAGTTTCATAATTCCCTTAAACTAATCCTGCTGCCAACACCAGTCACCTTCCTGAGCCAGGAAGGGGTGCAGCACTTGGGAGCAAGACAAACCACAGCCCTGATGATCTGTCTGAAAACTAGACCAAAAGGAAATGTTCTCACCTAAACTTTCTTTCTGGAAGTAGGTTTGCCATGCTAATGGTTGCCTGGCACTGAGAGGGAAGTCAAAAAGAGATGGCCAAGAACTCTTCTTTTGGCAGCAGAGCCAACCCCACCAGTTAGACCTCCCAGGACCTACCAGGTGCTCTGAAGCTGGGCTCTGAAGC